AGAAGCTGGGGAGGAGACAGGAGCTCACTCTGCCACACGGAGCTGGACCCGAACCGCTGAAGTGTTGACCATTTCTGGCCAGCAACTTTCAGCATCATTAAGCTGCTGCGCCACCGCGTCCCCTGCTATGAAGTGTACCCACCAATAGTACTTCACAACTGCTCAGGAGCAAACCAAACATCTTGACTCAAACCTGCCAGTGAAATCAATAGTTCAGTCTTCAAACAGACTGTGAAGAAATTATAGTCTGCCTTTCCTTCAGGAGCTCAAGGTAATAAGCATACTGCTCCTTCCTCCCATTTTTCCCACAACAACAATTCTGTGAGATCGTTTCAGGTGACTGGCACAAAGTAGGTCTTGTGGCTGAATGTCTTGAGCAGGTCAACCAGACCGTGATTGAGGCTTGCAGCAAGCATTGGGCAGTGTTGATAATGGAAGAAAAATTTCACTTTAAAAAATGACAAGATAAATTGAATTTGGATTAATCAAAATTTTATATATATATATAGGCAGTGAAAAGCCAATATATATATATTACAGTGAGAAACATAATATAACAGAAGTTCTGACCTGGCATTTAAAACATCTGACCTCATCAGCTGGAAAATACTATTTTCATTTGTTAAAATTTAGCCCACAAGTGAATGGGGCAGATTTCAAAACTTGGAAAAAAGCAGGGTTTTCAGTTTAAAGAACCATTAGAAGAAGATCTAGAACCAGAACTGATGGCTCAGGGGGCAGATGTGTGCTGTGACTTTGTGGAAAAGCCGTTGCTAGGTTCTTGTGTCCTCAGCAGATTATTCAAAGAGAGGGAAAGGTAATAAATGCTACTTCCTCTGACATTTAGGCTTCTGTACCAGTCTGATTAGTGAAAGTTGGAATGATTCCATGCAGATGAATGGAGTTTACATCAGAACATAAGGGAGAAGTCAGAGGAGGGTTAGCATACACTCTTATCTCTAACTTATTTTCATGCTTAGTGCACACCTCTGCAGTGATACTAATTCTATGAAAAGAAGGCCTTCCTTTTCCCAGCAATCTGTAATTAGAGAAGAGAGATATGCTGTAATCTCTCTTCTCTAGTAGCTGCTATTTACAGAAAAAATACACGTTCATGAGATTAAGCATTGCATCTCATTTGTACTCTTGTGGCAAATGAGAAGGGAACCAATACACACACACACACACACATGCGCACAAAGACACAAACATGCATATCAGCAGCAGCTGGGCCATCTCCACTGTATCTTGCTTTATCTTTAGTTCTGCAGAGTAAATGCTCTGTTACTTTCTCTAATAATTTAATTGCTAGGTTTGGGTGACTGCAGTAATAATAGTGGAATCATAATAAAAGAGAAAGTGAGACAAGAGAAAGGTAGGCTAAGGCTTAAACCCACAGAAATCATTTATGACCATTTGGTTAGGCTGTAGACTGCTATAAAATAAATCCACAGCTATAACACCCAAATTTTTATCCATCGGAGGCACATATTGGGGTAGGAATGAATGGGAAACTTCCAGTACCTCATTATACCATGTTTGCTGCATAGATAAACTGATCTGAATGGCACTATTATATTACTTCTCTGAAGTTACGGACTATGAAATTCAATCTCAGCTTTTCTTAATGAACGTTCTGAAACTTTTTTTAGGCTTAGTGAAGAAAGAAGGGACATAGTGTACTTTTGACTAGCCGGGAGGCCAGGGGAATACATTTTTTCAGTACCTGCAGAAAATATTGAGGAAAGAAAAGAAAAATAGCTTACGTTGTTTGTTGAAGCTGAATATGCCTGTTATGAAATCAGCATTTTGTTGGGGGGGGGGAATCCAATTTAAAAAATAGGCTAATTGAAATTATACAAGTTGCTTCTTGGAATTTAACACATTTCACTCAAATTAAGATGCATAAATGTCACTTCATCCGTTAGTACAGAACATCATGGGAGTTGTTATTCCTCTCTTTGTGCCTAACGTTACATAGATAAGGCAGCTTCTCTTTAGATGCCAAGTTCTGGGGTACCATCAAAGGGGGAAAATACTCCAGTTGATCATTATGGGCCATAGCAAAATGAACATCTCTGTTATTGTTACTCCTTTTTATTGCAAGTACCATTAGTGAGCAGCAAGCTTCATTTGATTATTTTTCAAGAAAGCATTCAAGAGCAAGCTTGGAAGATTCTCTTCCCATCTTTCCATTCAGAGGCATCCATGGAGGGGAGTCAAAAAAGACAGGATCAAACCCTGCCTCTTTTTTATGGGCAAACACACCAGCAGACACCTTTGCTTCTTTCCTGCTGCAATGATAAGAATGATAGCAGGTCTTTTAGGCCTCTTCCTTAACACCTGGAGGCTCGTAAGAATATATGAGTGCTGTTTTTTTTAATCTACCAGGACCCCTGGTTATTGACCTGATAAAACTCCCTTGCAGGTTTCAAGTAAGACGGGAAGCTGTTGAGCATGCTCAGATAAGTCATGACCTTAACGATGAGGCTCATCTTGCTACTGATTCTCCTTATTGTTTAGCAATTGGTGGATAACTGGTGAGGAGTAAATTAGATCTAAACTTTGAAATAGATTTGGCCTTTGCATATCACTAGCCTAAGATTTTTAAGTATTATCGTTATTCACTCTAATGACAAAATTATACATATCTTTGGGAATCTGAAATTAAGGCCATGTGATGGCTATTCCATGTGACAATCTGTTCAAATGGTTTACTATGCGCATTTCTTTTTTACTAATCCATATTATACATGATCCATTTGTACACTTCCAAATAGCAACCCAAGTTAGGAGTGAGGGGGCTAGATGAAAATAAAGCCAAGGAGAAATTTATATATGAAATGACAAACTGGAATAAATATTCCAGATTCTTTCTTTTTTTTTCACCTGAGCAGAAGCAGTTGAATAATGTAGAAGGCAGATATACAAACCAAGGTGCACTTAGGCAAATGTAATAAATTGATTATTCCCTTCATCTTGCATTCACATTCATGCTCCTCCTCTATTTTGTTGGAGTTCCTTTTTGGACTCCTACAAAAATCTGTTTGCAAGCCTGTGTCTGCTAAATTATCAATATATGTGCAGGAATGAAATGGAGAAAAAAAGCAAGAAAGAAAAAGAAGTACAATAGCTAAATATGTTGTTTCTTTAAGTGCCAAGAGAACATTTTCTGTGAAATACAAAAATTGGAAACAACAAATCTATGCCATAACTGGTATTGAAGAAAGCTCAAGATTCTCTGTTGGGCAAAAGAAAGAACAGAAGAGTCAGAAGCTTTAACGTGGGAGAAAACTATGAATATATATTTGCAGAAGTAGGAATAGAGACTGAGTTTAAAATAATACTGTGAAAAAAGTGTGCAGGTTTTTGTTGCTATGATCATACAGGTATTGGAAAGAATAGAGATGATTCAAATGGGAAAAAATGAATGATAGTATAACACATAATGTTAAAAGAATAAATAACAGATTTAGGGGCAGAGTGTCAATGCCTACATCTGTTTAAGTATCACACTTATTTTGTATCTCCATTTTAAAAGGTAACTTTAAAAAACTCCTAAGAATTTTTCTGAACTAAAGTACAAACAATTCAGGATTCAGTGGCCTACAAAAAACTTTGCTTACATTATCTATCTGAAATTGCTTTATTGGATTAAACGTTTCTAAATATTAAATCTGTTTATCAATAGCTCAGTCTGCTCAAGCTTATGATATACCTATTTTCATTCAGAAATCTTTTACTTGAAACAGATGATAAAGGTCATGTGTTATATCAACATTACAGAACATTTTTTTTCTCTGTCTCAATCCTTTCTTTATGAAAAGGTCACATTAAAGAATGTAGCACATTCTGCGCTGTCTAGAGTACTAGATCATTTGTTTATTGATCTGGAATTTCTTTAGGGTGAGTCAAACATTGAAAGTAATAGAATCTAAAAAGCTTTGTGCGATGAAAGAAGAATGAACGTCCTTATTCCAAGTGCCTGTTAAGGAAAAGAGAGGGAATGAGGAACGGTGGAGGCTGCAGATAACAACCAGATACAAAAATATTAAATGCTTTGGCTGAAAACACAGTTGCAGGACAGTAAACAGAACTAAATACTGAAAATTACATCTGAGCAAATAGACATAGGATTTTACTGTGAATCCTTAAAACCTCGGTGTCAGCACTGAAGCCTGCCAAGTTTATATAGGCAGTTTACAATTAAGTTGTCAACAGTTTTATTTGAAAATGGAAATTTATGCTTTTAAAAACAAAAAACAAAAAGGGTTGGAAGGAGAGTTAAAATATGCTAACTCACAGACTATTATAGTGAGGGAAAAACCTAGAATCTCTTTTATGGCTATTGTTGCAAGCAAAACTTTTTTTTAAGAAATATATATGTGTGTATAATTTAAACTTAGAAATCAGTTGTACCTTTCCATCCTCAATAAGAGTGAGTGTTACTGTATGATTAAAAAAATATCACACAGTTTGCTGGTCCATTGATATAGTCAAGCTGATTTATTTATTTATTTATTTTACATTTCTTAAAGGGAAAATAGCTATGCGGTAGCTGAAGAACTAAATGGAAGTGTAGAGTATACAGCTAGCTTACCTGATGTCTTCCTGCCCACTTCTTTTCAACTAACTCAGTGTTTCTCAACCTCTGCAACTTTAAGCCATGTGGACTTCAACTCCCAGAATTCCCCCAGCCAGCATGGGAGTTGAAATTCTGGAAGTTGAAGTCTGCACAGCTTAAAATTGCAGAAGCTGAGAAACACTGAACTAACTCATTCAGCTATAAAGTAAAGCAGAGACAACCATAGAGTCAATCCTTCAGTACTCTGGCATTCAGCTAAAAATAGACTGTGTTACAGGAAAGCATGATTTTGTTATCTACTCATCCATATGTGAGAAGACAAGATAACTTGAATTTGAAATGGATTTTTTAATTAATTTTTTAATATAGTTTTTCATTTTAGCATATAATATATAAGCTTTGTTCTTCCATACAGCAAAGAGCTCCAGGAAAGGTTTTATTGGATGCAGTCTGCAACCATCTGAATCTTGTTGAAGGTGATTATTTTGGCCTTGAGTTTCTGGATCATAAGAAGGTCATGGTATGTAAAGATATTTTGCCTAAGTCATCTCTCCCATGATATCATTTTATGACCTTTTCATGCTCTTAAAAGCTTGCCACTTCCTGTCTGCCTGCATTAAAATATTTTATAGCTTTCTCACTTGAAAGCAAAGCAGATGAGTGTGAGTACACATTCTTGTATGTTTCCCAGCTACATGATGATGATGTAAGTTGTATACAAAATGTATGAAAATTTCAGCTTTCCATCCATCACCACACAATGTGCAATGTGCTTGGCCACAAATAAGACATATACACAGTAGTAGAACAGAAACATACTGTTGTAGATAGACTACGGAACTTCTGTTTTGCTAAAATATGTAAATGTTTGTGTGCACATATGTATGCACAAATGTATTAGACAGGTTTTTTTATTATTATTTGAAGAACAAAACTCCAGTCTTGATGGAAAGATAGTTAATTGTGGACTGAGTGATTGCTGCTCAATTCATTGTGTTAAATTATGAAAATAACATGTGTGACTGATGTGGTCCATCCTTTTCTTCATCTCTTCTGCTGGAAACAAATCTGTTGTATCTTGGCAACTACTCTGTATATTAACCTTTTCTAATGGAGAATCACTTATTACTGTAGAGGAGAGTAGTCTGAGCTGTTTTCTTTCTGAGTTTATAATCTATGTGCCAGAAATAACATTATAAAGCCACCTACTCCTGTGCTGGGTACCCAGGCAATTGTAACTGGGCTGTATTTTAGTTATTCTTTTCAGAAATTTGGCAGTGCACACATTTTTCAGGCTGCCAAGTGAGAAGTTCAAAAACATAGAATTAATAAAATGCCAAGAAACACCAAGATCCATTAAAAAAAAAAGTCTAAAAACTCTGTTTTTCCACAGGTGGATGGATATAAATGACTAAAGCATAGAAGTTTTTATTGGCTAACAAAAAACAATTTTAAATTAATTGTTTTTTTCCCCAAAATCTATCCTGAAGGAATTATTTTTAAATGTTCACATGCATATATAGGAGACCTTGAAATGAAAATGCCATTGTGATATTTGAAGTCTTTAATAATCAAAATACATAGATGGGGCCAGAATTTAAACACAATATTTTAATTTTTTTCTCTTAGTTTGTGGGTCCTGAGGCTATTCTTCTGGAATGAGGATATGTTTTTATCTTGGTATAACAAAGAACTGTTCAAGTTTAGCCTGAACAAATGTATGATTCTTTCAAAACCTCTTGTTCAGGACAAAATGAGGTTTTTTGGGGGGGTTTTTGGTGAGAAAAAAGTTTGCCCCTTTACTATCTAGGAGTAAAATACATCTAACTCAATAGAAAATGTGTGTGTGTGTGTGTAGGTTGTATCCAAGCATACATTAGCATGAATGCAATATACAGTAGTGCTTAAGTTTGTGAACCCTTTTGAATTTTTAATATTTCTGCATAAATATGACCTAAAACATGATCTGTACTTCACACAAGTCCTAAAACTAAAGCATACCCAATTAAACAAATGAGTAAAAAACTATACTTCATTTATTTATTGAGAAAAATGATCCAAGGCTATTTATTTGTATGTGGCAAAAGTATATGAATCTCTAGGATTATTAGTTCATTTGAAGGGGAAATTAGGTGTTTCAATCAATGTGATTGATAATCAGGTGTGGGAGATCCTGCCATATTTAAAGAACAGAATTCTGGGTATTACTGTCAAAGGCTGATATTTGGAAATGTCATGGCTTGAACAAAGGAAATTTCGGAGAACCTCCAAAAAACACTTGTTGATGTTCACCAGGTTGGAAAAGGTTACAAAACTATTTCCAAAGAGTTTGGACTCCACCAGTCTACTGTCAGGCAGACTGTGTACAAAGGGAGGCAATTCAACACCATTGTTACCCTCCCCAGGAGTGGTCGACCAACCAAGATCACACCAAGAGCAAGGCATGTAATACTCCGGGATGTCTCAAAGAAGGCCAAGGTAACGTCTAAAGAACTAAAGGCCTCTTTTGCATTGGCCAGTGTCAGTGATCATGAGACCACCATCAGGAGAACATTGAACAACAATGGTGTGCATTGCAGGGTTGCAAGGAGAAAGCCACTACTCGCCAAAAAGAACATTGCTGCCCATCTACAGTTTGCAAAAAAGCACGTGGATAAACCAGATAGCTATTGGAAGAATGTTCTGTGGATGGTTGAGACCAAAAGAGAATTTTTTGACTTGAATGAAAAGCATTGTTTGGCAAAAGGTCAACACTGCATTCCAGCATAAGAACCTTATCCCATCTGTGAAACATGGTGGTGGCAGTATAATGGTTTGGGCCTGCTTTGCTGCTGTCATTGATGGAACTATGAATTCTGAATTGTACCAGCCAGTTCTACAGGAAAATGTCAGAGTATCTGTCTGGGAACTGAAGCTCAAGAGAAAGTTGGTCATATAGCAAGACAACAACCCAAAACACACAAGTTGTATGACCAAAGGATGGTTAAAGCAGGTTAATGTTTTGGAGTGCCACATCAAAGTCCTGATCTTAATAATCCTATAGAAATGTTGTGGAAGGACCTGAAATGGGTAGTTCATGTGTGGAAGCCTGCCAACATCCCCGAGTTGAAGCTGTTCTGTAAGAAGGCATGGGCTAAAATTCCTCCAAACCAATGTGCAGGACTGATTAAAGGTTATCAGAAACATGTAGTTGCAATTATTGCTGTCCAAGGGGGGCACACCAGTTACTGAAAGCAAAGGTTTGCATACTTTTGCCACACACAAATATGTAGCTTTGGATCATTTTCCTCAATAAATGAATGAACAACTTTTGATTTTTGATTCATTTGTTTAATTGGGTTCTCTTTATTTAATTTTAGGACTTGTGAGGAGAACAGATCATATTTTAGGTCATATTTATACAGAAATATTGAAAATTCATAAGTGTTTGCCAACTTTTAAGCACCACTGTATCTATTTTTAAACACAATAGAGTTTAAAATCTACCTATAAACAATTGGTTGAATGTATTAGGTTAGTACTACAAATAAAGTTTGAATACTGGATTATAGTGGTGATCAGCAAGCAGAAACATGGTTTGGGCTTATGATGTGAATGGATAATTGTTTAACCCTGGCAAAATTGAGGAAGAAAGAAGGGGTGGATAAGGGAGTTTGTTAGGATCAGTGAAATCGTCATCTTTGAAGAGCTACTGGCTGGCATTTGTCTGTTCAGTTGCCAGAAAGATCCAGTTAGATCCAACACCTAATTAATTAACAGTTTCTCAAGATTAAACAGAGGCTGTTCTTACGACACAAATTTTTCATATCCAACAAATATTTGTGAATGGCCATTATCTGTGGATAGTTTTCTATCTGTATTCCTACATTTCAGAATTTCTTACCTTTCCTTTTAGTATAACCTTGTGTACATGGACAAACAATCCTTAATTTGATCCTCCATGCATCTGATGAAGGCAGCTATACTGCACAAAATTTTATGCTATGATTATTTTGGTGGATTTTTTGGAAGATATTAGCATTGTTGTTAACATGTTTTTTCCTCTGAAAATTCAGTTTAATATGGTTTATATCCTAGTAACTATGTGTATGATTGCTAAACTGATTGAGTTTATAATTTGGATTTCTGTCTCCTATCCTGATTGCAATCTGTCCAATGGAATTAGCTGTCTTCACGTTCATCTTAAAATAGGGCTATGAGATCTAATCTGAAAAAAACTGGGATGATTGCCAGATGCAGGATCCATTGATCATCCAGATTTTTATAATTCAGATCTGGTAGCCCTATGTTAAAATGATGCGATCTATGAATGATTGAGTTAGAAATTATACTGCAGAGCTGTTTCTTGTTTTAGCTGCATCAATGATTATATCCTTTTTTTCCCCCCAGGTTTGGCTGGATCTTTTGAAACCTATCATAAAACAAATCAAAAGTATGTGTTGACAGCTTTATTTTGGTGCAAGTATAGACCTACTTTCAGATTATACTTATCCTTCACTGTGTCCTAGATGAAACAAGAGGACACCTTTTTTCTTTTCATACTTTGATACACTTCCCTATATTTCTGAAAGTCTACGCCATCATTTCCTAATATAAATATATGCAGTTTGTTTCACATAGAACCCAATTGCATAGTTGTGATTTTATTTGAACTGTTAAATGTATGGACAAATGAATATGTATAATTGAATTTTACATGCATAGGCCCTATTCGCCAGTTTGGTCTAGCAGTTAAGGCACCAGGTTAGAGACCAGGAGATGGTGAGTTCTAATCCTGCCTTAGGCACGAAAGCCGGCTGGGTGACTTTGGCCAGTCACTCTCTCTCAGCCCAGCTCACCTCACAGGTTTGTTGTTGTGGGGAAAATAGGAGGAGGATGGAGTATGAGTATGTTCACTGCCTTGAGTTATTTATAAAAATAATAAAGGCGGGATAAAAAAATCTAAAAAAAAAAATCTAAAATCTATTTGAACATTGCCCTCAGTATGAATGTTCAGGAATGTTGGAGCCATGACAAATGTACCAAATGAAGAAGAGTTTATACAGCTATCCTTTCAGCATGTGGTTAGGACAGATCCAGAGACAGAGAGTGTCCAATTAAGACAGAATTTATTTGATTTAGGACAGAAAATAACTTTTTCTTTTTGAATGCTATGCATTTATTTGACCTTCTGTCTCTGTGCCTTCTATTACAACATGCAAATTTAGGTGAGGCTTACTCCTAATAGTATCCTCACTAAACCAATCCTGATTAATGGAGCAGTGAAACAAGTTTGTTAATTGTACCCTTTTCTTTTTAACTGCTTTATTAATTATTTAGTTCAGGAACTAAGTAATCTGCATTTTTTCAACCTTCTAAGGGAGAAAACTTTTACTCTATGTAGATTATATAAGCAGAACAAGCATAAATAGCATATTGGCCAAAATGAAATTCAACAAGTTTCCTTATACTGTTATCTTAGAATTTAATTTAATACTTCATAGAATTCTCATATAAAAGTGCTAAGGTTAAAAGACCAAACCAACTGAGAATAGCCTCCTTGGATTCTGGACCACAGTTAGTGGTAGACCAGTGTCCCCTCTTTTGATGTTATTAAGGACCACATTAGAACCTCAGATACTATATAGGACCAAAGTATGAGGCTTAAAATTTCTGATGAACTAAATTGTTTTCAAAATAGAATACTGAGAGTAGTGTTAGGGACCACAGATAACTCTTATATATTTATTTGGGAAAAGTTTATATCAGCTTATCAAAAAATATTTGACTATGGGCTAAAATTGATACTCATGCCGGAATATAAGTAACCTAGACTATGCTTTAGTGAACAACTGCCTATATCCATCAAGAAAATAAGTTCAGGTTGGCACGATTTTCAATCTGTCTTCAAAAATTTGGTTTCTCAAAGTCATATTTCTGTCAGTGTAAACAAGTATGAGAAAAGATAGACTTCAGACAGAGAATCAGAGAAGTTACAGAGGGATTTATCTTCCTTGAGTAAGATAGAGATAGCTCCCCTGTATAAACGTTTGAAACAAACCAGAGACTGAGGTATATGTTTCTATATTAGACATATACAGTATGTTTTATGAAAAGTGTATACAAATACTAGATTTCAGATGATGCCATTAGCTGCATTACAGGGGAGATATATATAAAAAACTTTTAACTTACATTTTTGTTATAATACTAACCATCGGGAAGAGCCAGTAAGGTCTAGCCTAAAGCATCAGGTTAAAAAAAGGGAAGACCATGAATTCTAATCCCATTTTAGACGGGAAGCCAACTGGGTGACGTTGGGCCCATCCCACTCTATCAGCCATAGGAAGAAGATAATGACAAACCACTTCTGGACATTTTGCCAGAAAAACTGCAGGGACTTGTCCAGGCAGTCGCCAGGAGTCAAGGATGACTTCTTGAAGGCACAAAAACAACAAACAAACCTAACCATTAGAAGATCTCTCATATTATTTTTTTGAGATCTCACAAATTACCTTTTTGATTGCCAAAAATCTCAAAAATCAGAGATTTGTATTTACAAGATAATCTGAATCATATACATTGGTCTGCCCTTCAAAAAGCTGGCTATTTTTTATTCAAGTGAGATCCTAGGATTATTAAGACAGTGGCTAAATTTCTTTTGCCCTCTCCATTCCATTCTGAGTCTTAGTTTGGTTTAATCAATATTATATTGGATTTTGCGTTGCTTCTTATTATATACTTCATTATATATTGTTCAGTCACTTCTGTGAATGAAGTATTTGTATGCAATATATGTAAACATTAAATTCATGAAGTTTGTCATTGTTGTCCCTCTTTTTGTCTTTTAGGACCTAAGCATGTCATTCTAAAATTTGTGGTGAAGTTCTTCCCACCTGATCATGCTCAGCTACAAGAAGAATTAACAAGGTTGGTGTAAGCATCCATTTTAAGTTCCTCTTCATTAAAGCAATAAGAATTGGAAGAATTCATACCGAACTTTCAAACAAACGAGGTTAGGGCAAGGTCAGGAGTTAACTTGAAAGGATTCCAGATTTTCCAGTGTCTGATCTGAAATTTAGCTTAACTTGTTCTATTACTATATTCAGATTTATTTTTTAAGTGGGAGTGAAACCTAGACCTAAAAGATACTCAAAGCTTATATATAAATAACGTGTCCTGGGAGCAGGTTTTTATTTACGTACCACAGTGTCTTCGTGCCTTAAAATGAATTGTGAGCACTTGCTAATATTACATTTCCATCTAACCTTAATCCATAATTGTTTATTAATATTCTGTATTGCTCTTACCCAGCATGCTAGACATTTGAAGAGTATTTAATTAGGAAAGACTGCTCTTACCTGTATTCATTTACTCAGGATTTTATCCCCACTGAATTTTCCCTTCTCTTCCCCCCACCTCTGATCTCCCATATCATAAGTAACCTTCTGCTAAATAATGTCTGTCCACACCTGTGCCCCTTCTACTGACCTCTATGCATAGAGAAAGAAGCCGAGTTTGAGGGATGGCAGGCTGATCTTCTATTCCTCTTAAATCAACTGGGCGATTGCACTGAGATGTTCTTGCAGAATCTTTGGATTTGTAAGGGTATTATTGTGACATCTTTCAAAGAAAATGCTAAGTCAAATGGAGTTCTGTACTAACAATGAAAGGACAGTTTTTTTCATGACACAAAATAATAGATGAAGTTCAACTTGTACTTCAGCATTGACTGAAGTATTTGGTAGTATTTTTCCCTCTTCTAAAAGAGCTAAATTGATACAATAGTTAGCGAAATTATTAATCTATGTAGCTCATAATTTGTAAAAACATTTTGGGATGTTTGTTGTGCAAAAAAGTTATGGTTAAAACTTACAGCTCTTGCAATGATAAATTAGCAATATTTGCACAGTATGCATGTTCAGAATTACAAATAATAACATAAAATAAATAGTGCAAACAATAAACTTTTAGAAATGGAAACTATAGAAGGAAAGAATAATATAATTGAAAAAGCTGAGGCAAAAAATGGGAGAGGCTTGGCTATTCTAATATTGTCAGCAGCGAGACTTCAATAAAGAACATATTCCAAGGTGCTGGCATAAAAAAGATATAAGCACCCTTTATATGTAAATAATGTATAAGGTGCTCAGAGAAAAACCTTACCTGACCATCTTAGTGTATAGGCAGGTTGTTCATCCCAAGTAAACTTGTTAGTAAGGGATGTATAAACATGTTGATTTTACAAATACTCCATAAAAGTGTTAGTAATATCTTCTTTTTTGTGTACCTTTCCAGGTACTTATTTGCATTGCAAGTAAAACAGGATTTAGCACAAGGAAGACTAACCTGTAATGACACTAGTGCTGCTCTCTTAATATCACATATTGTACAGTGTAAGTAAAGCTTTTTCATCTTTTAACTTCTGCATTTTGAACAATGTAGTGTTAGATAACATTTTTCTGTAGATTGCAAAGCAGAAAATAAAGCTATTTCCAAAGGTTTATTTTTTTCTTGTATTCTTACTCCTCAAATATTACGCAATATTTACATAAAATATTTGATCAATGGTAGATCCACAGTGTCTGTTTTTGGTGGGGAAGGAGTAGGGATTTCTAATAAACTGTTTCCTTGTTTACAGTCAGGGCTATATTTGTTGGCATTCTAAAGTAATTGACTTTATCCCCACAACTCTAAGTGCTGAAGCTGGAAAAGTGGGAATACATCCAATCTTTAGAAATAGGATGCAAAATAACAATGGGGGAAGGTACAGCTCCCTTAGCCAAATCCCAGCTTTTTCTTATGAGAGCCCACTTACATTCTGAAAAAGAATTGTTGTCTCATTCCTTTCTCTGAAGGTGTCAGAACACCTTTAGCTGCTTTGCATTTAGATGTGCCAGTGTAGACCCAAACAGGAGATACTGGCAGTAATCAAGTGTAAGACATTTCTGTGTTCTGGTATAAAATCTCTGTTGCATGAGAAAATAGAATTTTAGATCAATTTCAGTGCCTGAATGTAGATCAGATGGCTGCTACAAATTATTACTTTGAAACAAGTAATAATTGGTGTATTTTTTTTTTCTGATTTCCTCATTTTAAATCTCCAGTTAATTAAGCATAACAGCAGCCTTAGAAGTTTATGACTGCTGCAATTGTCCAGTATCTTGTCTTTGTGTTTTCACATCTTCACATGAAAAATACATTGTGCCATCTTGAGAATAAAAATTAGATATTCTGAAAGTGCTTCCTATTAAAGTAGCTAGAATATATTGCTGATGTTCATAGAATCAGGCTGATTCCTACCTTCCAGTGGAAGTCACCTCTCCAAGTCTAGATTTTATCCATTGAGCGTACTTTTTTTTCCTTTAGCTGAGATTGGGGATTTTGATGAAACCATTGATCGTGAACACTTAGCAAAAAACAAATATATACCTCAGCAAGAAGCTTTAGAAGACAAAATAATGGAATTTCATCATAATCATATGTAAGTACATCATACTTAAGCATTACTATTATGTGATGCTAGAATGCCAATGACATGCTTAATACAGTAGGGAATATATAAAGTATAATTTTTATTTTAATTATAAAATAAGTCTAAGAAAAATAAAAGCGTGGTGAAGAGAACTGGATATAGTGATAGATATATAAATCAAGAGGAGGAAGGTTAATACAAAATATTTGAATTATCAGTGAAGAACTTTATTTTAAATTAGAGATTAGTATCTTCCAAATTTGAAAGAAACATTAGGTTGCTTTGCAGAAAAGCAAGAAGACAAGGTGATTGTGCTTTAGTTCATGACTCTTACATATGAAACTCCCATCTCTGCTAAGTGGTATAAGTAGATATTGTACTAGACAATATGATTTATTGTCCATTTCTTCTTACAATGAATAACAGAGCATGTTTGAGGAGGAAACAGTGTCTCCTTGGAAAAGCAAGTTCTTTAAGCCTACTTCCATTTTACTTTGTGAAATGTATTATAATTCCTTCAGTGGTCAAACGCCAGCAGAATCTGATTTCCAGCTGCTTGAGATTGCCCGTCGTTTGGAAATGTATGGAATCCGGTTGCACCCAGCCAAGGATAGAGAAGGAACGAAGATCAACCTAGGGGTGGCTCATACAGGCATCCTGGTGTTTCAGGTGCGTAAGTGGTCCTAATCATAGTTAATCCCAATTGCAAACAGTGAAGGTTGGATTGTATTGACTGTTCCTCAAGATCATAAATCCCTGGTAAAATTTATTGTATAAGTTTTATAAGCCAAGTCTTTGTTAAATTGGATATGGTTAACATCCAGTAACCATAAGATCCAGTATCCATCTACAAATGGGGAGGGTTTTTTTTGTTTGTTTGTTTTTGTTTTTGTTTGATATGAGGGGCAATAATGCAAACTGACTCGGCAAATACCTTATTTTCCTTCATTATGCATCATATTTAGGGTTACACGAAGATAAATGCATTCAACTGGGCTAAAGTTCGAAAACTCAGCTTTAAGAGGAAGCGTTTTCTTATTAAACTACGGCCAGATGTAAATGTAAGTCTCTGAAATGTCAGCTCCTCTTGGAATTTTAGCATTTTAGAAGGATGCTTTTCATTGCTTCCTTAAATTAAATCATTTATTCCTGGTGTATTTCTGTACCCCAAGTTTCTCTCCAGTCTGCCAAGGTGCAAGGCAAAAGTAGCTTAAAAAGGCCCTGTTCCCCAGGTCAACTTTATTTTCTTCCCTCCAACTCCTACTTCACCCTGGCAACAGTTATTATGCCCATGTCCAGCTAATTCTCAAGCACAAGGCAGAAATAACAATCTGACTTCCAATTGCTAAGCATATATATTTTCTCTCAAAAAGGACAACAGAGTACCTATTTCACAGAGGGGAAAGTAGTGATAATGCAGAAAAATGCACACAAGCAAAGCAACACACAGCCTTCATTAAAAAAAAAAATTGACTGTACTTCAGAACAAGCCCAACACCGAACAAAAGCAGTTACCCCATAAGTGGAAGAAATCTGTGCACCACAAACTCACACCAAAGCAAATCCCAGAAATACATTAGCCACACAACCATGTAAAAAATAATACCAGGCAGCTAACAAGAATATTCTTTGCCTTCCTCCCCAGAAGCATTCATTGCCTTAAAAATGAAAGACGAGGACGTGAGCAAAATAAAGCCATGCACCAGTCTTCAAACATTCAGTCAAAAAGACTGCCATAAATGGAATGTACCATGCACTTGCATACACACAGGCCATACATACAGATGCAAAATAGTCTTTATTGTTGCTGGGATCTGAGGAGAGCCTATGGGTGGCAAAAGAGGGGGACAAATCTGGAACTGACAAAACAACCAGTAACACCTTCACACATCTGGAAAACTTCCTCTAGGGAAGATGTATTAAGCCAGTAATTAAACTTATTAGGCACTGCTTTAAAGAAATGAAAATGGTCATGTTAATATAGTTGGGCTTTGCACAAAATATTCCTTCAAAATTCACATGTCAGGAAAGTTCCTATCCACTCTGCTTTTCACCCCAAAGAATAACATGAATAATACAGCTTTTCACCTGGATCTTATTTGTTTGAATGCTATATACACTTAGGAGGATAAACAAGAATAGATCCAAAGAATCAATCTTACAGCACATAATTATAAACATTTTCATCTTCATTACAGGCAAAATATGCACCATCTTCAAGTAAACCAAACAGCCAAAGAGAAAATGCCCACGTCAAAGGAAAAAAATATTTTTGCTGTTTTCCCTTTCTCTTTCCAATACTAAACCTAGTTTTATTAATTTTTAGAGTAACTTCCAAGACACCCTGGAATTCCTAATGGCTAGTCGGGATTTTTGCAAGGCCTTTTGGAAAATTTGTGTAGAACACCATGCGTTCTTCAGGCTCTTTGAGGAACCCAAACCCAAACCCAAACCTGTTCTTTTCACCAGAGGTTCATCCTTTAGGTTCAGGTAAGATTTTGTTTTTCATTATAATAATAATCCATGAAAAAGTTTGTTCACTTGTTGAAGAGAATGGATTGGTTCAAATGTAGTACTTGGTATGTTAAACTATAGTGTCCAAACTCAGAGCATGGGGTTACACAGTTCCCTACAAACCTACTTACAGTTTTTGTTGTTGAAACCAGACAGCTAAGGAGAGAATGGAATTCTTGAGTTTATTACACTTTCCCATTGCAGGAAACCACAATTTGTTCGAAAAAGAGCATTATGTATGGCAAAGGATGCTAAAAGGGAAACTTACTTGTTATCAAGTAACAAGTAATTGAATTTCTGTTTGTCCTCTGAAATTTCACTGCCCATTCATTTTGATTAGAGACTGTTAATGTCAGTTTGTCTTCTTGAATATATTGCTCACTGTATAACATTTTGTTTGATCATGTTTAGTATTTATCATTTCTGGATCTTTGCACTGGATCCATCGGGTTCCAGTGGGGGGGAGGAGGAGGAGGATTTATGAGAATATCTAAGAAATTTGGGATACAGTAGCAGTTGACCTTAAGAGGTACCATGTGATTTCCATATTATTTCCTTGAAGTATATGTAATCCCTACTAGTGAGGTATGATAACTTCTTTAGATGTTTCTGTGAGCTTCAGAATTAATGTTGGAAATACCTGTAGGACAAAAGTCAGCAACATTTTTAGGTGGTAGACACCATCGTAGAATTCCATGAAATGTCATGGATGTCTTTTAATGAAATATTTTTAAAATTAAAAATAACTGAAACTCACCAAGGTCTAATTTACTTGGCAGTCTGTAGGTGCTAGCCAGTGGAGATAGGGGGAAGTGACATGTTAGCAGCTCTTGCTGTAGGAGATTGCTCAGCATAGGAAATTATTTAAAAATACCTATTGGCAGAACTGTTCAGTGACATCTTTTAGTGACTCAGGATGAAGTAGGATTTACCTAAGTGGTTTTCTGTTTGAATCCAGATAAAGGTCCAGTTTTTATTTATATTTTAAGAGTTTTAGAGTGCTACAGATGGACAGAAAAGACCCTTTCATGGAAAACTGGTAGGAAAGAGAAAGGGTGAAGTAATGGTATTATTGGATTTCAGGTGATATGGTAGGTGTCCTTTCAAATGAAAGCAGAGCCAAGCCTGTGTCAGTGACATGGAGATGGGATTCAGTTCCTTTTATCTGCTCCATAAAGGCTCTGATAGTCCTCAACACACTTTCACAAACTGTGTATCCTGTTGTGGCTGGCTGTTTGGTGTTTTGGCTTTTTTTCTTGATTATCACACTGGTGATGTTGTTATCTAGTTGGTAATGAAACATCTGCAAACCAACAACCAAGCTCAGAGAGCACCAAGGATTCCGTAGTTCAACCCTCAGCTATGTATGTTCTCTTCTATTGGAAGATATATGCAATATAGTGCTTTATTAAGGTAACACTGAATTATGTAATGTTTCTTCCCTCTTTTCAATAATCATCTTTGGAAGCCAGATATGAGGCTTCCTCAGGGACTACAGTGGGGCAAAAAAGTATTTAGTCAGCCACCAATTGTGCAAGTTCTCCCACTTAAAAAGGTGAGAGAGGCCTGTAATTTTCATCAAGGGTATACCACAACGATGAGAGACAAAATGGGGGGGAAGAAAATCCAGAAAATCAC